TATCTCATATTGCAAGGAGCACAGATGTGCCTCTCCTTCTAGGATAAAATGATGAAAAACTCCAGTAAGCATTCATTTTGGGAATGGATTTTACAGAATACCAACTCATACTGCAAAACTAATTTATCCTTCTGTGAACAACAAACATGCACCCCAAATTTTCCCCATGTGCCAGAATACATATTGTAACAAATATAAGATTTTAGAAAAACATGTATTTACCAAGTTCTAGAGCAGTGTTCAATCATAGCAATATCCTAGGTTTTTTATGAGGAAAATCCATTACTTTAATATGTTGCAGTATCTCCTAATCTAGAACATTGTACTGCTACAGTATTTCAAAGAAGCAATCTTGTTATGAAAGTTGTTTTGACCTCAGGGAAGCAATAGGAAATCTCTAACTTAACTTATGAAACATTATGCATACCTTGCAAAGTTGGACATTTCATTTCTGACCCTTTGTTTACTGTTTGCTTTTGTTTATTTATAATTAAATACTTAAAGAAGAAAATTAAGCTTTACTGTTTGTCAATGTAAAAGATTAAAACATTTGAAAAATGCCTCGATGTTTTCCATTATATTTGGGATTTGACCTAATTTCTGGGTTCTCTACCAAATAAAAAAAAATCAGTACAAACTGAAGAGTCTCTAATTGCTTCAAATACTGCATCACCAGCACCTCCAAGATAATCAGTGCGTAAACAGCCTTACTTTTGTAACTCATGTCTGAAAGGAAAATATCCCCCTTGATATCCAAGTTTACCATCTTCATTAGTTTTCTGTGGCTGCTTTAGCAAACTAACACTAATTTGTGGCTTACAGGAACAGCAATTTATTTCTCCACGCCTCTTCCAAGGTCTGGTAGCTCCAGCATCCCTTGGCTTGAGGCTGTATCACATTACCTTCTTTTCCTTGAGTCTGTCCCCAAATTTGCTTCTATCTCTCTCTTAATAAGGATACATGGGATTGTGGTTAGGGCTCCCCAAACGTAAACTTTTCATCTCAAGAGCTTTATTTTGATCACATCTTTTATCGTGTAAAGTAATATTCACAGGTTCCAGGAAACTGACATGTCTATCTTTGCTGCTATTTTTCATCCCGGCACATGTCATCTGATTTTAATCTCATACTTTCCTGCCACTTCTGAGATTTTTCTCCCTTTGATACCCACCCTTCCCCTCTTTTATTATGCCCAATTCAATGATTCCTTCCTCTCATCCTATAATCATAATGTATTCATTTTCTACAGTTGCCATAACACAATACCAGAGATTGGGGTGGTTTAAAAAAAACAGATATTTATTTTCTCACAATTCTGGAGCCTAAAAGTCTGAGATCAGAGTGTTGTCAGGCTTGGTTCTTTTGAGGCCTCTCCCCTTGGCGTGTAGATGGCTGGCTTTTCTCTGCTCTCTAATGGTCTTCTCTCTGTACATGTTTACCCCCGATTTCCTTTTCTTATAAGGACACCAGTTATACTGGATTAAGGTCCATCTTACTGACCTCATTTTTTCGTAACTACATCTTTAAAGACTCTACCTCCAAGGACAGTCACATTTTGAGGTCCTGGGGATTAGGACTTCTGCATATACATTTGGGGGAACACAATTTACCCCATACACAGACCATCCTTTCCCATTCTGAGAAAACCCCAAACCCAAAATCTTCCATCTAAAGAACTACTCCCTCCAAGTACCAGCTGTAGCAGACATTTACTTCCCGTCAAATCTGCTATGCTCGTCCATACTCCCTGTCCCTCCTGCTGTCAGGAGGAGCCTTGGGACTAATTTTCGGGAGGCAGTACTACAGTTCTAATGGACCTGTAGGGGCTTGGATGGTGAAAATGTGGCTATAAAGAAGAAAAGTAATTTCATTCTAGAGTCACAGTCTTATACTAGTAAGATTGGCAGCAAATCGATTATGTTTGCTTCACAAAAAGCCATTTCTGTGACATCTCAGTTGCATTTTGTTCTTGAGTCCTCAGTTTTTACCAATGGAGGCTATAAAAAACAGTCTTATGACATCCATTATGCCATTTACTATGGGAAAACTATTTAGTGCATCTGCAAATCTCTTTGCTTCCCCCGAGGGTCCCTTTTCATCTTTTGGTCAATGGTAGTCTTTGTAAATGGGGTATTTGTTTATTTTTTGTTTGTATGTTTGTTTGTTTTTGTTTTGCTTAAAAGCCATATTTTGGATGCCAGTTATAGAATGTAAGCTCAATGAGGATAACAACTAGAGTTGTCTTGGCCATTCATGCATCCCCAATGCCTAGCCAGGTGCTCAATAAACATTTATTAAGTAAATGAACAAGCCAACTTTATAAGGCAATGTGGTCTAAATATCTGCAGTTATTTTCCCCCCAAAATCTGCACCTTTTTTTTTGAGAGAGAGAGAGAGAGAGAGAGAGAGAGAGAGAGAGAGAGATATTCTTTTTTAAAATACCTTTTTATTTTTTTCAGAGAGAAAGGGAGAGGGAGAGAGAGATAGAAACATCAATGATGAGAGAAAATCATTGATCAGCTGCCTCCTGCACTCCCCACACTGGGGATTGAGGGGATTGAGCCACAGCCTGGGCATGTGCCCTGACCAGGAATAGAACCCTGACCTCCTGGTTCATAGGTTGATGCTCAACCACTAAGAACAGTGGCCAAGCCAGATGTGCACTTTCTATTCTTACTTGTATTTCTCGGCACATAATTGTTTTGCTTATCCGTGATACAATAATGATTTCTGTATCAATAATTCTAGCATGTACTTTCTTTAAATTATGAATGTATTTATTGCAAATGTTATAAAATATATTAAATAAACATTTAATTGACGGAAACATTTAATTGTTTGACATATATTATGTCCACAAACTGGATACTTTTTGAATGATGCAATGCTGAGGACAGTCCTAGGAAGAGACTTTCTGCATTCATTTTACAACAGACATCCCAGAATGGGTTAAGGAAGAGGTTCTGAAAGTGTCAGTCAGAAACCTCCCCAAAATCTTCCAGGGGGGGGGGACTGGAAGATCAAAACTATTTTTAAAATAGTACTAAGACATTATCTGCCTTTTTCCCGAGCACATAGTGAAGTTTTTCAGAGACTACGTTATGTGTGATATCATAATAAATTGAATCAAAAAAGTAACTATCTTCTATTAAGCCTGTGAAAAAGAAATCAAAATGAAGCGCACAATTTGAAAGCCCTCCTAAACCAAACACTTAGAGACACAGTCACATTTTAAAATTGTCCTGATTTCCATGAAATGCTCTGCCCTTAAACAAAATTTAAGCTTTCTCCATACTAGCATGACCTTATAGCTTCCTTGCCAATCAAGTATGGGTATTTACAAACAATTCAGTTTATACAGGGCCACTGCTGTAACAATCACAATAGAAGCAATGCACTTCTGCATTCATGCTTTGTAAGCTAAGCCTTAACTGCGGAAAGCCCCGCTTCTACCACTTTTAGTTTTGAAGTCTCCCTGTTCGTGAATAGTTTCTTTCGAGCTGAATAAGATATTCATAGCAAGGAAAGTTCTCTGTGTTTCTTTTCGACAAACCTATTGTTAGAAAGATTTGCAAAAACCTGAAACAATGCCAGTCTTCTCACTAAAATTGTTTTGTTCTAGATTAATTTAACAAAAAATATATTATTTATGTTAATAGGCTTTTACTATAGTCATTTTCAATAGCTATTTTAATTTATTCGTTTTAATTTTTAACATGGTAAATATTGATAGATATAACCTATATACAAAAGCTCTTTGGGAGATCCTCAAAATGTTTAAGACCACAAAGTTTCCTGAGACCAAGATGTGAGGACCA